CTACAGCAAAGACAAAAACATCCAACGCGAGGCCGTCAGCCATGAGCATCATCGGCAGTCGCTCTGAAGTCCAAGCTCATAGTCCAGAGCGCCTTTCAGGAAGCAAGAACTCAGCATGCACGCATGTACTATGCCATGCACTTCCACTACAGCAAAGACAAAAACATCCAACGCGAGGCCGTCAGCCATGAGCATCATCGGCAGTCGCTCTGAAGTCCAAGCTCATAGTCCAGAGCGCCTTTCAGGAAGCAAGAACTCAGGACAAGATCCACAACACCGTCCCCAAGTTGTTTGCGAGGATTTCGAAGCCCCACAGTTCCGCGGCCACGTTATTTGCGAAACCCTCGAAGCCCCAGAATTCCGCGCCCACGTTATTTGCTAGGTTTTCAAAGCCCCAGAATTCCGCGCCCATGTTATTTGCGAGGTTTTCAAAGCCCCAGAGTTCCGCGCCCACATTATTTGCGAGTCGGGGACCATGGTATTTGCGATGGTTTTGGAAACAGCGAATTCGGGGACCATGGTATTTGCGATGCTTTTGGAACCAGCGAATTCGGGGACCGTGGTATTTGCGATGGTTTTGGAAACAGCGAATTCGGGGACCATGGTATTTGCGATGCTTTTGGAAACAGCGAATTCGGGGACCATGGTATTTGCGATGCTTTTGAAAACAGCGACTTCGAAAACACCGTCCCCAGTTGTTTGCGAGGATCTCGAAGCTCCACAATTCCGCGCCCACGTTATTTGCGAGGATTTCGAAGCCCCACAGTTCCGTGTTTGCGAGGATATCGAAGCTCCACAATTCCGCGCCCACGTTATTTGCGAGGATTTCGAAGCCCCACAGTTCCGCGCCCACGTTATTTGCAAGGGTTTCGAAGCCCCAGAATTCCGCGCCCACGTTATTTGCTAGGTTTGCAAAGCCCCAGAATTCCGCGCCCACGTTATTTGCGAGGATTTCGAAGCCCCACAGTTCCGTGTTTGCGAGGATTTCGAAGCTCGCTATTTGCGAGGTTTTCGCATGTCCGGAATTCCGCTTCCATGCTATTTGCGAGGTTTTCGCATGTCCGGAATTCCGCTTCCCTGCTATTTGCGAGGTTTTCAAGCATGTCCGGCATTCCGCTTCCATGCTATTTGCGAGGTTTTCAAGCATGTCCGGCATTCCGCTTCCATGCTATTTGCGAGGTTTTCAAGCATGTCGGAATTCCGCTTCCATGCTATTTGCGGGTTTTCAAGCATGTCCGGAATTCCGCTTCCATGCTATTTGCGAGGTTTTCAAGCGTGTCCGGAATTCCGCTTCCATGCTATTTGCGAGGTTTTCAAGCATGTCCGGAATTCCGCTTCCATGCTATTTGCGAGGTTTTCGCATGTCCGGAATTCCGCTTCCATGCTATTTGCGGTGTTTTCAAGCGCCCAGTTGTCCGTTACCATGCTATTTGCGGTGCTTTCAAGCGCCACATGTCGGTGACCATGCTCTTTGCGGTGTTTTCGAGCGCCCATATGTCCGTTACCATGCTATTTGCGGTGTTTTCATGCGCCCAGATGTCCGTTACCATGCTATTTGCGGTGTTTTCAAGCGCCCAGATGTCCGTTACCATGCTATTTGCGGTGTTTTCATGCGCCCAGATGTCCGTTACCATGCTATTTGCGCCCGCGTTATTTGCGAGGGTTTCGAAGCCCCAGAATCCGCGCCCACGTTATTTGCTAGGTTTTCAAAGCCCCAGAATTCCGCGCCCATGTTATTTGCGAAGTTTTCAAAGCCCCAGAGTTCCGCGCCCACGTTATTTGCGAGTTCCGTGCCCATGTTAGCACGTCCGGAATTCCGCTTCCATGCTATTTGCGAGGTTTTCAAGCATGTCCGGAATTCCGCTTCCATGCTATTTGCGAGGTTTTCGCATGTCCGGAATTCCGCTTCCATGCTATTTGCGGTGTTTTCAAGCGCCCAGTTGTCCGTTACCATGCTATTTGCGGTGCTTTCAAGCGTCCGTTACCATGCTCTTTGCGGTGTTTTCGAGCGCCCAGATGTCCGTTACCATGCTATTTGCGGTGTTTTCATGCGCCCAGATGTCCGTTACCATGCTATTTGCGGTGTTTTCAAGCGCCCAGATGTCCGTTGCCATGCTAATTGCGGTGTTTTCATGCGCCCAGATGTCCGTTACCATGCTATTTGCGGTGTTTTCAGACGCCCAGGGTGTCCGCGGCGTACTACGTCTGTACTACAAACAGTCGACTTTCCAGCCACGGAAGCTCCGCGTGTCCGCGGCGTACTCGGCGTACTACGTTTGTGCTACAAAAGTCGACTTTCCAGCCACGGAAGCTCCGCGTGTCCGTGGCGTACTACATTTGTACTACAAAAGTCGACTGACTTTCCAGCCACGGAAGCTCCGGGTGTCCGCTGCGTACTACGTTTGTACTACAAAAGTCGACTTTCCAGCCACGGAAGCTCCGGGCGTCCCCGGCGTACTACATTTGTACTACAAAAGTCGACTTTCCTGCCACGGAAGCTCCGGGTGTCCGCGGCGTACTACGTCTGTACTACAAAACTCGACTTTCCAGCCACGGAAGCTCCGCGTGTCCGTACTACAAAAGTCGACTTTGGCACCGCGACCACGCCGAAACCCGCAGAGGGGTTACGTTCGTATGTCAAAAAACGCAAAAACACGAGGGTTTTGGCACCGCGCCAACGCCGCAACCCGCAGAGGAGTTACGTTTGTTTGTCAAAAAAGGCCAAAACACCATGGTGTTGGCACCGCGCCAACGCCGAAACCCGCAGAGGGTTGTCTGCGGCCACGGAAAAAAGTTCCAAAAACGACGGTTTTAGCACCGCGACCCGGCGATCACCCGCAGAGGGTTGTCCGCGGACGCAAAGAAACGTAAAAAAAAACGACGGTTTTGGCACCGCGACCACGCCGAAACCCGCAGAGGGTTGTCCGCGGCCACAAAGAAACGTAAAAAAACGACGGTTTTGGCACCGCGACCACGCCGAAACCCGCAGAGGGTTGTCCGCGGCCACAAAGAAACGTAAAAAAACGACGGTTTTAGCACCGCGACCACGCCGAAACCCGCAGAGGGTTGCAATCCCGATTGGCGATGTCAACCCAGCCCGCCGCCTTAGAAAGAGTAATTTTAATTTAGAAATCTAGGACTGGGTACGAAGGTCTAGTAAATTCTACGTAAATCTAGAAATTTGTATTCACTGATTACTAAACTCTATGCAATTCACTCTATGCAACTTCACTCTATGCACTTCACTCTATGCACTTCACTCTATGCACTTCACTCTATGCACTTCACTCTATGCACTTCACTCTATGCACTTGACTCTGTGCACTTGACTCTATGCACTTCACTCTATGCACTTCACTCTATGCACTTCACTCTATGCACTTCGCTCTATGCGCTTCACTCTATGCACTTCACTCTATGCACTTCACTCTATGCACTTCACTATGCACTTCACTCTGTGCACTTGACTCTATGCACTTCACTCTATGCACTTCACTCTGTGCACTTGACTCTATGCACTTCACTCTATGCACTTCGCCCTATGCGCTTCACTCTATGCACTTCACTCTATGTACTTCACTCTATGTTGTTGGGTCAGAGGGCTCCGCACGGAAGAACCCTTCGCGATGCTTTCGGGAAAACAAACACGATGTAACCCCTAGACACTACAAGGTGGGGTAGTTATAAGTAGAGTTATAAGAGCCCTAAATTGGGTTATAAGGATCCTAAATTAGGTTATAAGTCCCTTAACTACAGTTAGTATTGTAAGGGGGCCCCCTCCTTGTAAACCTTGACGCCCAAAAGCCTTAAGTGTGAAGCCTAAACAAAAAGGGTTTTGGGGGGGGGTGATTATAGTATCATTACAAAGGGGGCCATAGGGTAATATTCTGAGAATCTTTGTCCGACCCCTCTATTCGAAACTTCCCGTCCCAGGTCTCCTCATCATCCTCGTCGTCTTCTTCGTCCTCACCTTGTGCATTGGCGAAGAGTTGAGGTTTAGGGTTTAGGGTTTAAGGTTTAGGGCTTAGGGCTTAGGGTTTAGGGTTTAGGGTTTAGGGTTTAGGGTTTGGGGTTTGGGGTTTGGGGTTTGGGGTTTGGGGTTTGGGGTTTAGGGGTTTCCAGCAAGGTGCAGGGTTGTCGGTGTTTAGGGGATGGCGGGCTCTAGGCACCTAAGCAACCAAAACCCAAAACCACAAGCTTACCGAAACACCCACAAGCTTGGCTGCACTCAGGAGGGTAGCTAAAATCAAACTTTTAGCTGCCTCATTAAGAAACCCAATTAACCCAAAAAGGGTAAGGATCTAAAGTTACAGTAAAGTGTCACAAAGTAAGAAACAGATTAATTAATTACATGTCCCAAGGTCCGACCTAGCCATACTTGCTTGTCCTGGAATGGTGGCGGATGACAGGGTTCTACAGTTCTTGCTAAAGGCGTTCAAGAGAGTCCTGGAGGTGGATACAAGGGCCAAGGGTTCCGCGTGTACTTAGCCCCCTTACCGGAAAACATCCCTTCGGTTTCGGGTTTCGGGTTAAGGGCTCAGGGTGGCGGCGCTGCCGCAGCTGCAGCTGCACCAGCAGCACCCTATCCCCCCCCCCCCCCCCCCCCCCCCCCCCCCCCCCCCCCCCCCCCCCCCCCCCCCCCCCCCCCCCAAAGGGGGGAGTTCCCCCTCTTGGTTCTCCAGCCGTTGTAGCGCTCGATGTCTTCTTCCTGAAAAGGGCTCCATGCTCCGGGGCCTGGGGGGGGGGGGGAAAAGGCTTGGCGGGGTGGGCAACCATTGACTCTAAACTCCTAAACCCCTCAAGCTCAAGCAGAACTGCAGAACGCGGAGCCTTCTTTTACATACCGCGGAGTGTCCAGATTGGACTACGTGCTAGGCAACTCCCTGGCGTTTCAAGCTTTTCAATTGTTACATGTGAACCCTAAAGGGTACACGGATCACGCCGTTCTCACAGCAACCTTTAATTGGCAACCGTCGGCCACAACGCTTAACCTTTGGACGATGCCTTCTGATTTTGCAAAGCTAGGGCTTTTCTCCAAAGCAATTGGCCAGCAAACGGACTTGGAGTGTGTTCAACAAATATCCACAGCGATTCAACGAAGTGATGACCCTGGTGAAGCTTTATTGGCCTTTGCGCAAGTATTTGAAGACAGAATAAGCAAGCGGTATTTACAGGTCACAGGCAAACGGATTCCCCCCCAATATCTGGGTAGATGTAGGGGCAAGCTGGTCAATCTCCCCCGTGCAGCGATTCAAGCATCTTCGGTTGCTAACCTGGCTTCGGACAGAGTCGTATTAAAGAAGCGCCTCAGGGTACTTGATTGGGTGAAGGAGCTTTTGCATTTGATAGGCAAGGGCGTCTCCTGGGAACAGCAGTGGGTTCTTTGGGGCAAAATTCTGGGATCCACTGGCTTTAAGCCGTCTTTCTCGGAGTGGATCATCGCAGAAGAAATTATGCAGTATGTTCCATTAGACTTTCCATCTTTGCAGTGGTTGCAAGAGCTGTTGGAAAATTTGCAAGTAGAAGCGATGCGATGGAAGCAGCTGGTTTGTAAGCAGCAGTCACAATCCTGGAAAAATGCATTGTCTGATGATTGGGCAAAAGGTGGGAGATTACATGCCAAGTGTGTCAAAAACACTTCATTTGGTACTGTACACTCGTTGGTTATTCAGCATCGCATTTCAGCAAAGTTGTGTCGCGCAACTAAAGGCCAAAACGCGCAGATCAACACTGCCTCAAAAACAAACGTCGCGATTGGATCGGTCCTTCAGGCAGGAAAACACATCTGGCCCATAGTAGACAAGCGTGGCAACACCTTGGTTTTGGGCGGCGCTGCCAAGGCTGAGCTTTTGCAACAGTCCTTCACAGTGCGCGAATGGTGTTCGGACCCTGCCAGGGTGGCTAGGGAGGTACAAGCATTTTGGGACCAGTATTGGAACTCGACAGCCCAACCGAATGGTGCTGTTATGCAGGAATTGGTGCAGGGTATCCCGCAGCTTCCAACCTTTTCCCACGAGATTTCTAGAGAGGAGCTTGACGAAACAATCAAACAATTGGTGGATGGCAAGACAAGAGGGATGGATGGGTTCAGTGTTCGGGAGCTGAAAATGCTGACGCATGGTGAACGCGATATGCTATGTGAACTTTTCAACGCATACACCGCCACTTCTCGATGGCCGCAGCAACTACTTAAAGCTTTTGTTGTCTTGTTGGCAAAAACCCCGAATCCACAAACACCGAAGGACACCCGCCCCATCACGATATTACCCTTGCTATACCGCGTGTGGGCCAAAATCCACGCGAAGAAAGCGTTGCAGGCAATGACCTCCTGGCTTCCAAAGGATTTATTTGGTTCAGTCCCAGGTCGAAGTACAATGGACTGTGCTTTTGAACTGCAAAGTTTCCTGGAGTATTCCATGGGATCGGAGTCAGAATTGGTAGGACTGGCGCTTGACTTGAGCAAAGCCTACAATACGATTCAACGAAGTTTCCTGAAACTTGTTGCGCAGAGATGTGGGTGGCCTGCGCAGCTCATTTCCTCGTATGTTTCTTTCCTGGATGGTTTGGAGAGGTCATTCAAAATCAGTGATGGGCTTCACTGCCCTACGTTAAGTAAAGTTGGAGTTCCGGAAGGGTGCCCGCTAGCAGTACCCATTATGATCTCATTGACTTGGACGATGACAAATGCTATATCGGCGCAAGGAGGTAGGCTCTTGTCTTACGTTGACAATTGGGTTACGTTGGTTGACGGGGTACAGTTCCTACAGCCGATGATTCAAAAAATCCTTTGGGCTACGTCTGGGCTGTCTTTAATCCTAAATCCTAGTAAAACAAGAGCTTTTTCCACCAATTCCGCGGCAAGGGTGCAACTTCGGCAAATGACTTTTGCAGGGCATCCTATGGAAGTCAGTGCAACCTTACAAGACCTGGGGGTTTCTTTCACGTTCACCAAACAAGTTACATCTACAACGTTGGGTCAGCGCTTTGTAGACAATGAGGTCAAGCTTCAACGCTTACAGCTTCAACATTGGGCGTGCAATCGGAAGTTCAAAGTTCTACAACGAGTTATCATGCCATCTATGTTTTACGGAGCTGAGCTGGCGTCAAAATCTATGTCGTATTTGGCTCGGGTTCGAGCTCGTTTTTCGGCCGTATTATGGGGGCAATGGCAACATCGGAACCACTATCTGGCGCCCCTTTTCGGGGGTGATTTTCTATATGAGCCCTTTATCATCACCCTATTGCAGTCTCTGCGTACCGTCAGGAGAGCTTTCCACAGAAACCCTGGAATTGTGGCACACCGCTGGGAAGCGGCTTTAGTTTGTGCTAGAAGCAGTGGTCCTTTTCGATACTTCCAAGATCTGTTGAAAATGGTCGGCTGGGAACCATGCCAGGGGTTGCTGATACGGACATCTGCAAACACGTTGCATGTGGCCTTTAGTGACGTAGAGGCGTTCCGAGAGCAAGCGCTTGCAGATTGGTTTCAGTATGTGGCATGTAGCCTTCAGAACAAGAAAGGTTTCGAAGAGCTTGCGTCGATTGACTTTGGATTGTCGTCTAAGCTCAGGCGCTCTTCAGGAGTGCCACTTAGTGCTCTGGGCAATTTCACATCCGGGGCGGCGCTTACAACCGGACAGAAAAAACATTTTCTTGCTGTTGGCGATTCGTTGTGCAAACATTGCGGAGCAGAAGATACCCAACGACATAGGTTGGTTGAATGTCCGGGTACGCAGTCAGCGCGAGATCAGATTGACACAGTGGCCTTGAAGACATTGCCGTGTTTGCAGTTGGAAAAAATGCTTTTCAAGCAGCCCTTGGCGATTGCAGAATGGCATAAGTACACACAGTCGTTGAAGCTTGAAACCTTTTATGAGTTTTTCGATCGTCGGGTATGTCTTTTTACCGATGGGTCCACGTACAATGGTGCAGAGATTCCACGATGTACCTGGTCGGTTGTCCTAGCAGACCCTGAAAAGCTGGAAGCAGCCATCTACGAGGTGGGACAACTTCCAGGTAGGCAGACAAATTTTCGCGCGGAACTTTACGCTGTAGCAGTGGCCATCCAGTGTGCTCCTGGTGCATGGATCTTTTCCGATGCGTTGGGTGTGGTGCGAGGTGTCAAAAGGCTCCTGGCAGAAGGTTGGTCAGAAGCATTCTGGAGTAAACAGAAAAACCTCGGCCTTTGGCGTTTCTTATGGGCAAGTTTGCAATCGAAGCTTCATTTTGAGTGGCAAATTGTTCATGTGGAATCGCACAGGGACTTTCGTATGCAGGACACGCCTTTTGCAGCATGGACGGCCTATTACAATGAACAAGCAGATGAGGCTGCAAAGGCAGTACAAAGGGATCAGACGCAGCCTGGTTTTCGTCTTCACTTGTTGGCTCAGCAAGCGTATATGCGTTTACACGGTACAGCAAAGCAAGTCGCGAACCTGCAGTCCAATCTTTTGCAACTTAGCAGGGGCACTCACTCAAAGCAGCTACAATCTGTGCCTGTGGTTCCTGAAAGGCAGTTGCATGTCGAGGTTGGTGCAGTCATTGACATCCACTGGCCTGTGGCCCGCATGTACAATGATACTATTCTTTCGCCGCCTTTCCTATATAAACTTCATGAGTTTCTTCAAGGACAAAGCTGGTGTGTTGCTATATCGCCGATAAGTCTTGCAGAGCTCTATGTGATTTTTGTTTCAGAAACCAACTGGATTTCCCCAGTAAACGTTGGAAGTTGGCCGTTGGAGCAGCAGCCTTCTAAATGGCGCAGTGCCATACCTGTGGCCTGGTTACATGAAACGCAGCATGAACCTTTGTTGCTTCATAGGCCAGCATTCAACAAGCAAGTCACGATCTTCTTGCACAGCCTCAAGTATATCATAAAGGAGCTCAACCTCCCCTGGAGTTTGGTTCGTGGCAAACACTTGAGCTGGTGTGACTGTTATAAAGATGTTCCTGGACTTTCAGTCCTTCCACTGGCTTTTCAGAAGTCAGCAAGACACCTTTTCTTGAAAACACTTGGTGCAGCCACATTTGAACACTTTGCAAAGTCCCGATATGATCCGCCTCTTAAACCTGTAGTGTATAGTCAAGAGATAACCAGCCCACAGCAGCGCTGGAATGCTTACTACCGCCGAAGGCGCGGGGCCCGAGGCAGATAATTATTTTGGTCGGTCTTCTGTTTTCTTTCACCCTAGCTAAAGGGCTAGTTATCTCAGCCGTGGATGCGCCTGGGATGTCCGCAAGGATAGCATGCATAAACTCCTAAACCCCTAAACTCCTGAGCCCGGGCCTGCTGCTACATCGGATCTTAAAAGTTTTGAAGGCAAGGCCAGGGCACCCGACATTGTGTATGCCCCAAACCTTAAACTGTCGGAGTAGGCTGGACTAGTAGGCCGTGCTGGACTAGTAGGCCGTGGAACTCTTTGAGGTTTTGAAGAGCACGGCCCAAGACGTTTGCATGAGTGGAAGCGAGTTGAGGGCCCCAGGGCAAAAGGAATCAAAAGTGTCGGGCTGCCTCCTCATCGGGGGATTAGGGGTGAGGGTTCAGGGTTCAGGGTTCAGGGTTTGGGGTTTAGGGTTTAGGGGTTTAGGGTTTAGGGATCAAGATCTACGGTACCGGTCTCGGAACCTCACGGGGATGCCCCTCAACAACTGGCACAGCGCCAGAGGGACCAAACCCTAAACCCTAAACCCTAAACCCTAAACCCTAAACCCTAAACCCTAAACCCTAAACCCTAAACCCTAAACCAGCATGTGTGGCCAAGCCAGGCTTCACTGGACGCTTAGGGCTTTTAGGGAATAAGGAGCATGATCTCCCGGATAGTCAGAGTATCTCATTCAGAAACTACCATTTGAACCCGAAATCCTGAACCCTCAACAACCAACCCTCTGCTGAGCTCCGAGGGCCTCAGGATGTACTAAAGCGTAGTGTTTACAGGGCCAAGAAGGAGATTCTACCACGGTAGCCCCAAGAGACCACACGTCCACCAGTGCAGACCGTTTCGAACTGATGAACCCAGATATCCAAATAGTAGCATTACAGTGGTTCTTGTTCCGTGAGCAAGAATACGCATACCCACAATGATCACAAGTAACTAGAATCACAACCCGCGGACAAGCCGGGTTAGTCACAATCGCCCAAACACTTCTGCATAGTCAGAAGCTCGCAAGAGCAACAATGTTGATAATCATACCACCATGAGAATCATTGGAGTAACTCACAATCAAAATAACTATGGTCGTCATAATAACTATGGTCGCCATAGTACTCATAAACAATAGCCTTCAAAACCAAAATAGTCAGTCATTAACAACAATCATAATCGTCATATCATTGATGATGATCATATATTCGTGGCAAGGGCGCTTATGGTTGTTGATGTTTGTGAAAAGCATCGCTGAACTTCGTATTCATACTTTGCTCCTTGGAGATTATGACGAGCACGATTGTCATGTCTTGCTCTCTCCCCCTCTCTGTCCCCCTCTCTCTCATCATCTACAAGCGCAAAAGAAGCCACTGCCCTCCTGCATCTCGCCGGTGACCATCGACTGGGCAGAGGTACGGGGGATTTCGACCCTCAACCCTAAAGGCTGTACACCCTCAACAGGGCTAAGGTTGTAAGATGTTGGGGCAGCGTTGCAGTGTTCAGCTTAGACCGAATGACTCAAATCTCAGCTTCGGCTGCGGGCGAAGGGGCTTTGACGGCAGAATCCTTCACCGTAAACCCGAAACCCTAAACCCTAATCCCGTTGTTGGTTCGAAGAGAGGGGTCAGAGGGGTCAGGGTTTCGGGATGCTCTGGTTCTTGATCCATGCCTTGCTGTTTGTCATTCCCTGGGTGCAAGACTCAGACTATGCGCTTGGGAGCTCTCTCGCCTCTACCAAGAAGGTTCTGGGATCCCCTAAACCCAAAACCCAAAGCCCTATAATCCCCATTCGAGACAGCCAAGACACCCTTGCAAATCTTGTTGCTTTAAAGGTCTAGAGTTTAGGGTTTAGAGCGCGAGACACAAGAGACAGTCGACTGCTCGCTCTCGTTTGCGCGTTGGAGCTTGTGCCTTTGTGTTTCTGTGACGTGGTTACCTCTCTTGCAGCCCTAAACCCTAAACCCCCCAAACCCTGTGCCTTAAACCCTAAACCCTAGTTAAACCCTAAACACTAAACCTAACAAAACAACATAGCCCTAAACCGCAACAACCCTAAACCCTAACCCTAAACCCCCTAAAACCCCCTAAAACCCCTAAAACCCCCTAAAAACCCCTTAAAAACCCCTAACCCCCTAAAAACCCCTTAAAAACCCCTAAAACCCCCCAAACTCATCCCACCTCATCCTCGAGGTCTTGGTCCTCCCCTCGCTTGGGCAGCGGGAAGGAGGTGTAAAGGGCCCAGCAGCTCTCCTTAGCACAGGCGGTTTAGGGTTTCAGGGTTTAGGGTTAAGGGTTTAGGGTTTAGGGTTCAGGGTTCAGGGTTTAGGGTTTAGGGTTTAGGGTTCAGGGTTTAGGGTTCCCCGATGCCTTGACCACTCCTACTTCTGAGGGCGGCGCAGAACACACTATGTGAAGCTTCGACTGCAGGGTTTTGGAGTTGAGGGTTAGGAGTTTAGGATAGAGTCCAGGGGATGCGGGGTTTAGGATTTAGGCTCTAAGGGTTTGAAAAACCAGGCTGAGCGACCAAGACTGCAGTCACCCTAAACAATAAACCCTAAACCCTAAACCCTGCACCCTAAACCCTAAACCGCCCTAAAAAGGTTTCGTGCGCGGGCGGGGTCTGCACCGTCTTTCTGAAAGCTTCCACACCGCCATCTCTAGGGTTTAGGGTTTAGGGTTTGGGGGTTTGGGGTTTAGGGTTTAGGGTTTAGGAGCCTAACTGTTGTGTGGCAGGTCAAAGTGCAAAGTTCCCGACGAAATGGAGGGCCGGGGTTTTGGGGTTTTGGGTTTCGGGTTCAGGGTTTTTGGGGTGTATGGGGTTTAGGGTTCAGGGTTTAGGCTTCAGGGTTTGGGGGGGGAGCCAAGCCCAGTCCAGAAGCCACTCAAACGTGGGACGAACACTGATCGAGGCAATTGGGCAAGGTCTTCTGTGTCCGTAGAGCGCGCCCGTGGGCAAACCGTACAAATCCCAGGGTTTAGGGTTTAGGGTTTAGAGTTTAGGGTCCTATCAGAAGCCATCAATAAAGCTTAAAACCCAATCTCTAGGAACTCAAGCTCTCCACCCCACCAGCCCACGCCTCTAAACCCTAACTTTGTGATGATCACTGCCAACCGTCCTTAATAGGGATTCTAGTGCCCCCCCCCCCCCCCGCCCCACAGCATAATCCCCAATAAGGACTGTTAGTCTAGTGTAAGGGGGAACATCTCAACCCTAACTCCGAAACTCCTGCACCCCTAAACCCTGAACCCTAGATCCTCCCCAAAACCGTAGAGACCCTAAGCCCCACTCCTGCACCCCTAAACCCTAAACCGAAACCATAAACCCTAAACCCAAAACCCTAAACCCCTGCAACACCGGAG